CCCTCTCTTGTCAAATTATAAGCAAACAAATAATAAATACAGTTAAATAAAATAATTCTTTTAAAAATATAATATTATTACTACCTTAATTGGAGGACTTTGAGAATGGCAAAACTCATTGATCTTCTTCTGCAAAGGAAGTTTCATCTCAGTCACTACTACACACTGTTGAGAATGAGAAATTTAAGAACAGAAAAAAATGCACAATTATTTTAATATACAACTTTTAAATCAGAGGCATGTCAGTTTGCATTGTGCTAAAGATACATTGTTATTCTCATAAGAAATTACTACTCTATTTTATTCCCTTCTAAGGTTAAGATCATTAGAAGTATAGATTTGCTAAAGTAAAAACATGGGGAAAAACTGGCCAACATTAAATTCAATGACCATTATAGGCTTTACAATTAGAAACAAACCTTAAACTCTATGTGGTATTTAGTGTTCCAAATGGCTAAGCATCTGGTTTACCTGTTAGTAGCATAGAAATACTAAACTAACCATCAAAATATTTTCATGCTAGCTTCAAAGGGTGACTACATTATTTGTTTTTAAGGAGAGGTTTTTGCTATAGGACACGTGCACATGCCAGAGACACAGAGAGAAAGAACGCGAGAAATCACCCCTCAGGAGGGATGGCTACACCGCAATCCTTTGGTTTCTATGCTCTTCTTGGGACTCTGGGCATGTGTGCACACGCGTCCAGCATGAGTTTTATGTCGCCAGGATCAGGACTTGAACTGTAGTCAACTACGTGGGAAACCAGCGATGTAAACATTACGCCAACTATTGGTCCCAACAACTATTTTATTTTTTTAGGAGAGGTTTTTGCTATAGGGTGCGTGTGCCTGCTAGAAAAACAGAGACAGACAGAAAGTGAGAAATCACCCCCCAGGGGGGATGGCCACGCCGCAATCCCCTTTCCTCCACTGTCCTCTTGGGATCTTGGGTATGCACACACATGTGCCCGGTGTGAGTTTAAGCCGCCAGGTCTGGGACTCGAACCACAGTTGATGACATGGGAGTCCAATGACATAGCCATTACACTAATTGCTGGTCCCATCCACCAACTACATTTTTAAGAGATACATTAATTAGCTTAATTTTTTAAAATTTTAATTCTGAAATTCAACAGATGTGTTACATAATAAATCTCCCTTACAATGTCATTACAAAAACTACTAGATTTTATTATTTAAGATAGATGATAATTTTCAATGCTTATGCTAGCTTTTCATGATCATCTTGTAAGATAATTAGAGAGGTTTTTAAATCAGATTTTCTAAGTACCTTAGACTCACAGAGGTCAAATATGTTAAAATAATTTGTCTACAAAGTACCATAAGCAGAAACAGGCTCTCAGTCCAGAGCTTTCTTGCTGTTGGTCTCCATGAATTGGATAATTTACTTCTATTATTACATGTCCAGGTATGCATTTAGTTTTATTTTACTTAGAATATGGTGTAGAAAAGAAATTCCTTCACGGGTCTCCTCCTCTTTTTATCTCTCACTGGGTATGACATAAACCCAAGGCCCTGACTACTTTTCATTCAGGGTCATTCTTCAGGATTATATTTGCTGTGTATCAATAAAAATTTGAGGATGGGGTGAAATCTCCTTGAGGGAGAAAGAAAAAGACATATTTACTGCTTGCAAAAAAGAGCAGGTTCCCCAAGCTCAGTGTTCTCCTCTAAAGCAAACCATTCTATGTGCAGGTACCCAGTGACTCCTCTACAATATACTTGTGGTTTTAGGGGGACAAAAGAATACCTAGTAATGCCTTACTTTCTGCTAATACCCTAAGTAAAAGTCTCTGAACCAGGAATCTTTATCTTTTGCCAGTATCAATAAAACAGTCTAATAGGCTAACTTATCAAAAATACACAATTTAACACTAGACCCAAGATACACTGAATCTGAGGATTTACATTTTATTAGTGCTGGAAAATTGTCAGTTATAATTTATCTGAATACTGCCTTTTTCTAATGCTCCTTTCTAGAAATCCAAGCTCATCAACAGGACCTTATAATTCAAATTCTCATTCATTTTTTCTTTTATTTCTTTGAGATGCTATCTCAGTAATTTCCTTAGATCTACCTTTCAATTCACTATGCTTATTCTATCTGAATCTATCCGTTTAATCTATATTTTAATTTTTTAAACTATATTTTGATTTTTAGAAGTTTGCCTTGGTTCTTTATCATATCTGCCTAGTCTTTGAATCTTTATCACACCTGCTTAGTCTTTTACAACAGTGTTTTACAATAGTGTTTTTATATTATATATTTAATTCTTTCTTTCAAGATTTACCAGGTTTGAACATTTATATTTTTATAGTCTCTTTGCAGTAATTCTATTCTCTGAACTTCTTGGAGACTTAATTCTAGTTCGTTATATCTGCTTCATCATTTTTGAATTTCTTTTTTCTTTTTATTTTGGATTGTGAACTCATCCTTAAAGACACTTTACACATTGGAATACAGTATGGCTTAGGTGATGATATTTTTCTTTAGGTTTGTTCAGTACTTTATCTGTTTGGCATTCTTGGGTACTATAAAATTACTTTTTATAGTAAAATTACTTTTTTTTGGAGAGGTTTTTGCTATAGGGCGCATACACTCGCCAGAAAGACAGAGAGACAGATCATGAGAAATCACCCCCCAGGAGGATGGCCACGCCACAATCACTTCTCTTCCATTTTCCTCTTGGGATCTTTGGCATGCACACACACACACGCCCGGCATGAGTTTAAGCCACCTGGTCTGGGATTCGAACTGCAGTCAACTACATGGGAGTCCAGCGACATAGTAAACTATATTTTGATTTTTAGAAGTTTGCCTTGGTTCTTTATCATATCTGCCTAGTCTTTGAATCTTTATCACACCTGCTTAGTCTTTTACAACAGTGTTTTACAATAGTGTTTTTATATTATATATTTAATTCTTTCTTTCAAGATTTACCAGGTTTGAACATTTATATTTTTATAGTCTCTTTGCAGTAATTCTATTCTCTGAACTTCTTGGAGACTTAATTCTAGTTCGTTATATCTGCTTCATCATTTTTGAATTTCTTTTTTCTTTTTATTTTGGATTGTGAACTCATCCTTAAAGACACTTTACACATTGGAATACAGTATGGCTTAGGTGATGATATTTTTCTTTAGGTTTGTTCAGTACTATATCTGTTTGGCATTCTTGGGTACTATAAAATTACTTTTTATAGTAAAATTACTTTTTTTTGGAGAGGTTTTTGCTATAGGGCGCATACACTCGCCAGAAAGACAGAGAGACAGATCATGAGAAATCACCCCCCAGGAGGATGGCCACGCCACAATCACTTCTCTTCCATTCTCCTCTTGGGATCTTTGGCATGCACACACACACACGCCCGGCATGAGTTTAAGCCACCTGGTCTGGGATTCGAACTGCAGTCAACTACATGGGAGTCCAGCGACATAGCCATTACGCCAACTGCTGGTCCCAGTAAAATTACTTCTTATATTAGGTTCTCAGGTTGGGAATTTCTGGACTTCTCAAATTGTGAATTTCTGAATTTCAAGGATTATAAAGTTGATCTCCAGACTTGTATGAGGACCCAGAGTAGATCTCTATTTTTCATCCAGAGCTCAAAAGGAAACAAAACAAGCTTCTTGTTCTGATGGGCAAAGGTTCTTCTCATCCACTCTCACAGAGGGTATAGCTCCCTTAGGTTCCAGCTTTATAATGGGGAAGGTGTCTCAATTCTCAATTCCATTTCTCTATTTTATGTTGACCTAAGTGTGTATCTTCTGTTTCTGTTCCCCAAGAACCTCAGTTACTGTGACAGCAACCTCTGTCGCTGATACTGACCACAGACAATAGTTCACTAGTCTCCCATTAGCTATCCCCCCCAACCTTTTTTTTTTTTTTGCCCTTGAGCATCTCCCTTTTATTACACTGAGCTCAGGTAGTCATTTAAAAGAAAATCTGCTTGACAAATTCCAAGTGTTTTGACCAAGATGGATTTAAGTTATCCAATCCAAATTGGAGATGTAATAATATAATTTAATCACACATACAAAAAAAATCAAGGTCAACCTAGTCACTTTTAGTACATCACAAGTGCTGAGAATTTTTATGGCTGCTATTTAACAAACTGTAGTCTATGGTACGTTGACTTATTAATCCATATATTTTTCTTCCCTGTAACTGGACTGTTTGCCCACTGCTACAGAAAGAACAGAGTCACTTTCCTGCTCCTTGACTTTGGGCTTGATAATGTGACCTGTTTGGCCAATGGGATAATAATGAAAATAACATAAACCGAGGTTTGAAATTTGCTTGGGTGGCCAGACTTGTCCTTTTGTATTTCTGCTATTGCTGTGAGAACATGATCTGGTACCCTTCTGGTCTCAGAATAGAGACAAATGGTTGCAGAACCCATACTCTAGAGTTCAATCCAAGCTGATTCAGCCTCAAGCAGCTGAAGCCCAGGACATGCAGATGCATGAGGAAGAAATAAATGCATGTTGCTATAAACCACTGCGTTTTGAGTAATTTTTAATGCATGTTACTGGGAAGATAGCTAAGTAATATAATTGCTTTGTTATTAGTTCTTAGATCTCTTAGCTAAATTGCAGCATTTGAAAAATATTATTCTAATAGGAGTCTTCTATTTTGATAATTTTTGTTCTGCTCTTCCACGCACTAGGCTAAATTAGTTATACCACAGTAAACTTAACAATTTGCTTTGGAATCTGTCAAGAACATGTCATACAAACCTGATATTTATCTAAGAAGGAGAGATCTGTGGTTTCATTGAGAGGAACAGAAGACGATGTGACATGAACGTATGGATTTAGTTCTGCAATATGATGAAGTACAGCTTCAGCCCTAAAAAAAAAAAAAAACTCTTTACTATTACTTTGTTTGGTATAGTCAATCTCTTAAAGCTGAACACTATCAATATCAGAGGAACTTGATATGTTATAAAATATCAATAGGAACTTAATTAATAACAGAAGAAAGAAACCCAGGACTTATTTCTCTTTACAGGTAACTGTACAATTTTCAGCTGAACTATTGTATTCGATCTTAAACCATACAATCTCTAAGTATACCATTATATTTCCAAGTTTCAAGATCTCTGTCTCTTAGTGATTGAGAATTACTAAAGACTTCTTTTAATAATCTCAAAGAAATTCATTTCTAGGTAGTAGTGTAAATGTATAAAAAAATTTGAGAAATACAAATACCTGAATAAATATATACCAATACTTACTTATCTGCAGTAGTATGAATTTATGGTAATAAGTTAAACAATCATAACTGAACTGTTGTTCTAGATAAAGGACACTAAGGAATTGAGAGAAAAAAAAAAAACTCTTCATAATACATCAAAGTATCTTCACCTATTTCTCATATTAACAACATCATCTTCACAGAGGAAGAAGTTAGTTCCTAGATCCCATGCTTGGCATCTTTCTGTATCGTGAATTGTGAGTGCCTTCAAAAAAAGAGAAATATAACTATTTAAGTGAGGAATAAAACAAGAATGCTAATTATCTCTAGAACTACTTATACTGTTTTGGAAGTACTACTCTATACAATGAGAAAATAAAAAGTAATTACAGGCATAAGAAGAAAATATAAAACTAGATTTGTATGTAGTTGATATGACTATTTATATCTGGAAGTACCACAAAATTGATGGAAAAACTATTCTAAATAGCAAGAAAATTTAAATTTAAAAAGGGTAGTATATTATAAAATCAACATAAAATAATCCAAAAAATTATATAAGCGAATACTTAAAAATACTACATATTCTAAGTAAGAAAGATAATTAACAAACTAGAAGGAAAAATTCTTGTAACTTTTATCATAGGCCACAAACATAGAAAAAGAGAGGATACATAAACAAGGAATATACTGAAAAAGACATGTATATAGCTATTGAAAATATGTAAAGATCTTCAGCCTTGCTTAGGAATGAAGTATCTTTTCTCACTCATAAGACTGGCATAAATTCAAAAGTTGACAACATATTCTATTGGTGAGGTGAATCAGCCACTCTCCTACATTACTGATGGGAATGTGAAGTGGCTCAACCAACTTCAATGGAAAGAAGTATCATATATATGAAATAGAGTCATCTCCAGGATGTGCTGTTAAGTGATAAAAAGCAAGGTGGAGAAAAGTAAAACACCTTACGAAAGGGAGGAGGATATAAATACATGTACGCACACATAAACAGATAAACATGTGTGTGTGCGCATTTGCCTATATTTAAAAACAGATGAACAAACCAAATAGAAAATTGAGTGGCCTAATAAGTGAACGTTGGAATAGGATAGAGGGAAGTTAGACTTAACTACCAGAGAAATTATTTACAATAACCTTATAAAAAGCAGTTAATCTAGGTAAGACTTTAAAAAGTATTAAAAAACTTAAATTGGGACCAGCAGTTAGTGTAATGGCTATATGGCTGGACTCCCACGTAGTCGACCGTGGTTTGAGTCCTGGATCCGGTGGCTTAAACTCACACCGGGTGCGTGTGCGTGCATGCCCAAGATCCCGAGAGGAGAATGGAAGAGAAGGGATTGCGGTGTGGCCATCCCCCCTGGGGGGTGATTTCTCGCTTTCTGTCTCTCTGTCTCTCTCTGTCTGTGTGGTGAGCGCACACGCCCTATAGCACAAACCTCTCCAAAAAAAAAAAAAAAACTTAAATTGTTTTCAATAATATATTGTTACTGATACTGGAATTAGTATTCTGAAGTTAATTTTTGTAGGTAAATTTTATAATCTTGGATAAAACAAATAAGTAAATAAGTTAGTGCCATTAGGAATCAAGACTCTTACAGTAAGAGAAAAGAGATACAAATGTAAATTAAGGAAATAACCATCTTATAATCCAAAAATGTGAATTAGACATTTTATAAGTAAGACAAATTCATTCTTTACTCATTATAAATACCCTAGCTCTGTCCACCAAAAAGATTTTATGAATAGTAAAAAAAAGACTACTGGAGTTGTGTCAAAAGAATCAAAATCGAGAAGAGGATGCTAAAGATGAAACAATCTGAGCACTAATGAAAATAACAAATACAATGAATCAAAACACATCAAATATGCTTAAATCCATGAGCTTATTATAATGTGCACACACATACAAATTTACTGGTTGTTGAGAGGATGACAGGAAATCACTGATAATATTTATTTTTTTAAAATTAATTTTATCATCATCGTTATTATTAATTTGCTATAGGGCATGTGTGCTCACCAGAGACAGAGAGAAGGGGAAAGTGAGAAAGTAAGTTGCCAGGTCCAGGACTTAAACTATGGTCAACTACGTGGCAGTCCAGCACCCTAACTACCACGCCATCTGCTGTACTGGAAACCACTCATTTTTAAAACTCGTAAATAGAGGAACAACTGAGCTATTATCCTATAGTTTGTACACATGAAATCTGTACTTTTGTGAAACCAAGTAAGTGATGAATGAAAAACTTTCTAAAATATATGTCAGCCAGCGGATGAGGAAGGAAATGACAGAGTATCACTGTTGCCACTGATGGGAGTATACATTATTGCCCATTGCCTTGCCAAAGAATCTGATTATCTAGATGTAATTACTACTTTGAAGAAAAGCAGAGACAGAGGTATATGTGATAAATGACTGTTTTCAACAAATAAACTGCAAGGAAAAAAAATATCAGGGAAGGGAGACCTGTAGATTGTAAGAAACCAAGTACAGTATATAGATTTTACTTGGATGCAGATTACAACAACACAAGCTTTAAAAAAAGTTCCTTAACACAACTGGAAAAATTTAAACTCCAGATATGTGATGACTGTTAGGTAGATATTTGATTGTGAAGATGGCCCAATGCTTCCTATCTCCTGGTATTCAGGCCTTTGTATAATTCCCTCCCCTTGATGTGGGCTAGACCTACTTCTGGGATTAGGTTACGAAAAGCTGTGAACTGCTTGCTTACTCTGATGAAGCAAGTTGCCATACCATGAGTTGTCCTATGGAAAAAGTCACATAGCAAGGAACTCAGGATGACCTCTGGTTAACAGCAAGGGAGAAACTGAGGTCCTTAGTTCAACAACCCATGAAGGAACCAGCAGTTAGCATAATGGCTGTGTCGCTGGACTCCCACGTAGTCGACCGCGGTTCGTGTCCCGGACCCGGTGACTTAAAACTCACGCCTGGCGCGTGTGCGTGCGTGCCCAAGATCCTGAGAGGAGAATGGAGGAAAAGGGATTGCGGCGTGACCATCCCCCCTGAGGGGTGATTTCTCGCTTTCTGTCTCTATGTCTCTCTTTGTCTGTCTGGCGAGCGCACGTGCCCTACAGTGAAAATCTCTCTCTCAAAAAAAAATAACAAAAAAAAAAACCATGAAGAAGTGAATCCTATCAATGACCATGTGAAAAAGCTTTGGGAACAGACCTTTTCTCAGCCTACTCTCATGAAGACTGACTGTAGCCTTGTGAAGAGAGACTGAAAAAATAACAGGTAAGTCACGCCAGAATCGTAACACTCAGAAAGTGAGATAATAAATGTTGCTATTTAAGCTACTAAATTTAGGAGTCAATTGTTTTATGTAAAAAATGTTACATTTTTAGGTGTGAAAATGGTATTGTTTTTAAAAGACACACTTATTTTTAAACATACATATTAAATAACATTTAAGAATAATATGGACATATCTGAGATTTACATCAAAATAATTGGCAGTTGGGGACAGGAGGAAATGAGATATACAAGGGCACTTTACAAAGCTTATGGAAAATTAAAATTGAAAGATAAAATGAAAAATATTAGCTTTTTTTCTCAACATTAGCTTCATTTTTGTAAGTGATGATAATGATACTAGCTTTTAATTCACTTATAAAGAACTGAGGGTCCTGGGAATTTAACCCTATCAAGGCTGCACTTTTTACACTATTAACTAAAGAAAAATTGGTGCCCTTTAAAGATTTTTCTTTTTTAAGACTGGGAAACAAAAAGAAGTCAGAAGGAAGGTGTATACCTAATGATTTCCTATCAAAACCATTCTAAGAGACCAGCAGTTGGCCTAATGGCTATGTCGCTGGACTCCAATGTAGTCAACCGCAGTTTGAGACCCGAACCCAGCGGCTTAAACTCATGCCGGGAGAGGAGAATGGAAGAGAAGGGACTGCGGAGTGGCCATACACCCCTTAGAGGGTGATTTCTCACTTTCTGTCTCTCTGTCTCTGTCTTTCTGGCGAGCGCATTTGCCCTATAGCAAAAAACCCCCCAAAAAAAAAAAAAATTGGGGACCAGCACTTAGTGTAATGGCTATTTCGCTGGACTCCCATGTAGTCAACCACGGTTCGAGTCCCAGACCTGGTGGCTTAAACTCACGCTGGGCGCGTGTGCATGTGTGCCCAAGATCCCAAGAGGCAAATAGAGAAAGGACTGTGGCATGGCCATCCCCCCTCGGGGGATGATTTCTTGCTTTCTATCTCTCTCTGTCTGTCTGGAGAGTGCACGCGCCCTATAGCAAGAAAAAAAACCTCTCCAAAAAAAAAAAAAATCCAAAGTTGCCCTTGCTTGATAAGAGGAATGAACAGGAACATCTTCATGGTGTAGAAGGATTATCTGACGAGGTTTTCCTAGGCATTTTCTGCTGAAGCTTCTGCTAACTTCCTCAAACAGCCTCATAATAAAATGTTATTGTTCTTTGGCCCTCCAGAATGAGGGCCAAAGCAAAATGCCTTTGGCACCCCAAAAAAACAGTTACCATATTTTTGCACTTGACCAGTCTGTGTTTTCTTTGACTAGAATATTTCTAGCTCTTGATAACCATTGCTTTGATTGTGCTTTGTCTTCAGGATTGTAATGGTGTGTTATCTCCTGTTACAGTTAAGGAAATGCTTCAGGATTTTGATCCCATTGGTCTAAAATATTCACTGGGGACCAGCAGTTAGCTTAATGGCTATGTCGCTGGACTCCCATGTAGTCGACTGTGGTTCGAGTCCCAGACCAGGTGGCTTAAAACACGCTGGGTGCATGTGCATGCGTGCCCAAAATCCCAAGAGAAGAATGGAGAAAGGATTGCGGCGTGGCCATCCCCCCCGTGGGGGTGGGGGGGTGATTTCTCGCCTTCTGTCTCCCTCTGTCTGGTGAGTGTACATACCCTATAGCAAAAATCTCTCAAAATAAAATAAAATAAAATAAAATAAAATAAAATTTTCACTGAAAGTTCTGCTCTTGTTTGCAGCTGGTGTGGATGCAACTGTTTTGGCTCCCGTTTAGCAGAAAGTTTACTCAACTTTAATTTTTTGGTCAGAATTATATATAATGAACCAAAATTAGATGTGTTAGGTATTGTTTCTGCTGCTAATATAGTGAGTCCTCTCCAATTAGGGCACCGACTATTGGGGCATCAAAAAAGTCATGGAGTACTTTTCTATTTTTTTTCTATGCAAAAATATGTCAGTACTTTCTGATGACCCAATAGATTGATTTTTTTCCTCTTACAAAATGATGTGGATAGTCTGCCACCGTGGGTATCATCTTTGACATCGTTTTATTCCTTCTCAAAATGAATTATCCATTTGTAAATTGCTGACTTATTTGGAGTACTGTCCACATAAATTTTTCATAAAACATCAATGACTGTACCATACTTGCTTGCACCCAAGCTTCACCAAAAATCTGATGTCTGTTCTTACTTCAATGTTAGCAGACTTCATGTGGCTCTGAGGGGCTCTTCTCAAACTGACACCTTATTCTTTTTAGTGCCTTAACTATATTCTGCTCAGACATGTTACAATAAATTCATATAGGTTTTTAAAAATGCAAAAAAAAAAAATGAAAAAGAGGTCCATGTATAGTTTTTGTCATAATATACATCTTTCATGAACTTTCTGAAGACCCCCCGCCCCAATATAAAATGAATGTGTCATGAGAGGGTAATGACACTGTGGGATGGGTACATGGGATTTTGTTAAACTATTCTTTGTGTATTTTGAAATTTCCATATGTCTTTTATAAAAAGTAAAGTAGAGCATTAAAATAATTTTGCTATTAACTGGAGAAACAATAATTAAGTCAAAGTGTAAACAATATTACCACTACAGTTAAGCAAATAAATTCATAACAATTTTTCTTACTAACAACAATAAATCACTTACCTTAATCCCCGCAAGAACAAGATTTTTTGCTTTAAAGGGAAATGAGAAAGGAACAGTTTAATATTAAGAATGCATACTAGAAATGTCTTCTCAGAGTTTGGTTACATTTCTGACTGGTTATTTCTAACTTTTGATTTTATTTATGGACTTATTTATTAATTTAGGGAGAGGTTTTTGCTATAAGGCGCATGCACTCACCAGAAAGAGAGAGACAGAAAGATAGAAAGCAAGAAATCACCCCACCCAGGGGGGGGGGGATGGCCATGCCGCAGTCCCTTCTCCATTCTCCTTTTGGGATCTTGGGCACGCACACACATGCACCTGGAGTGAGTTTAAGCCACCAGGTGTGGGACTAGAACAGCAGTCGACTATATGGGAGTCCAGCAACGTAGTCATTATGCCATCTGCTATTTATGTACTTATTTCAATTTTATTTTTAAACTTTTGATAGAGGGTGTGCGTGTTCCCTGGATAGAGATGGGGATAGAGGAAGGAGGTGTGAGAAAGCAACCCCTTGTGGCATGGCCATGCTGCAATCCCTTTTCATCCATTTCTCTATCCTATAGGGACGTGGGGTATGTTTTGCAAGTTGCCAAGTCAGGGACTTGAACTGTGTGGTCAGTCTTATGAGATCTAGTTGCCTTAGTCTTATGAGATCTAGTTGCCTTAACTACCAGACCAGGTGCTGGTCCAATTTAAACTTTTTTACTGTTCAAGAAATACAAGTTTCTTATTATAAAAAAAAAAAAAAAGTTAGAAACTAGATCTACAAAAAGGAAAAAGAGAATTTTGCATAATTATACCACCTTAAGATACTCCTACTCCTAAAATTTTAATGTATGTTTCCAGACATGTTTATGTGCATTGTCATAAGAAATTAAAGGATAAAGAGAATGACCATTAACGGCCGTTAACATCTCAAAAAAATAAAAGAAGCAATGAGAGTCATTATTGGTTCCTTGAATAAAAATATAACTGTATTATTAAACAGTCTCGCCAAAAGAATAAAAACTGAATCTGATCAAGATATGGGTCCTTCATAGGAAATGCAAAGGGATTTTTTATTCCTTAAATAATCTGTTGCTTGAAAGTAAAACATAAAATTATGAATAAAAATATTGCTTACCAATTTCCAAACCAAGACCGCCCATACCACTCAAGAATACATGGGACTTGGCCATCTTCTGCATTGCTGTGTCTCCAAGAACGTACCTCTGTCGACTACATGTAAAATACAATGAAAGACAAAAATTAATTCATCAAAGTTATATATCCTTAAAGCTGTTTGCAAACAGCCCTGGAACTAGCTACTGCCAACAGATTTGTTTTGGATGATTTGCAGTGTTTAAAAATTTGAATTAATTGCCAAATATATGACATATTTTGAAAAACTGGCACCACTATCTACATTCTCTCAAAACAAAAGACAGATGGAGTTGAGTAGGAGTTACCCTGCTTAGAAAGAATTACATGCTCTAGACTTACTACAGTTCCATACTTTCCAGTTTCTTTCACTTATTAGCTCAGCAGCCATTACAGGTTTACAAGTTTGCCATCTCTACTTTAAATCTTATCTTTAAGAACAGGATTTCTGAGACCAGCAGTTAGCATAATGGTTATGTCACTGAACTCCCATGTAGCTGACCGTGGTTCGAGTCCCAGACCCAGTGGTTTAAACTCACTCCAGGCACGTGCGCATGCGTGCCCAAGATCCTGAGAGGAGAATGGTGGAGAAGGGATTGAGGTGTGGCTGTGGCCATCCCCCTGGGGGTGATTTCTTGCTTTCTATATCTCTGTCTGTCTCTGTCTTTCTAGCGAGCACACACGCCTTATAGCAAAAACCTCTCCAAAAAAAAAAAGGATTTCTGAGTCAAAAATTGGTTTTCTTCTTAAAAGTTCAGATGACTTAGAATTATGCAGGTTTTAAATATTATTTTAAATATAAAAGCTGGTAAAGAATATAAAAGACCCTGTTAAGTTATGCATCCTAAGCCACAAGGTAGAATTAAAATGGGAATTTCAGAAAATATATATAGGCAATTTTAAAGTCACATATATTAGTAAAATCAATAGTAAGAATTTATCTGAAAAAACATCAAGAAACTTGATTCCATATCAAGTTCTTGAAGATACTGTAATTTCCAATGAATTCTTATGAGAATTATTTGAAAGAGGAGTTCAGTATAAATAACAATTTCTGAATTCCCAGAGTTATGAATATTTACTTTTGGAATTGAGGCATACACATTTAAGGTTATCGTGTGTTCAAAAAATTAGTATTTATTTCATTTCCATTTCATCTTTTTACACTTAATATAAAAATCTGAAAAGGGATTTTCTGTGTAGCTAGATGAAACTTTGTAACACAAGGTCTCTGTTTTCTTCCTCGTTCACTACAAAATAAAACCTACCCTTTTATTTTAAATCAGCAATCAAGATGTTTTTGAAAGTAAAAACTAACCACTTACTCAGCAAATATTTATTGAACACCTAAGGACAGCATACGTGAAACAGTGTCTTACATAGTCTTAAATCCCTTGTGTACCCTTACTGATAAGTTTTGCCTGTTTTTTTCTCTCTCTCTCTCTTTTTTTTTTTTCCTGTATCTACTATAGGGTGCATGTGCTCACTGGAGAGAGAGAGAGAAAAAAAGGGAAATAGAGAGAGAGAAAGCACATCCCAGGAGGATAATTACACCACAATCCCTTCTCCTCTTGAGATTTTGGGCACGAATGCACATGAAACAGAGTGTCTTTCAAGCCACTGGATCTGGGACCTGAACTGCCATGTGGCTGGCCATGTGGAATGCAGCTGCCTTACACACCATGCAACTGGCGGATCCAAGTCTTGCTTGTTTTATACTTTATAAAGATGGGACCACTTTGAATGTTTTCTATGTCTTGATTACTTTGAATGAAATTATATTTATGAGATTTATTCATATCCAGCATAGAGCTGGACATTAATCATAATTTCTGTTGCAGTCTATTGTACCATAATGTTCTACTGCTGTCATATACCATAATTCAGCTACTCTACAGTTTTGGACAGTTATCAATAATAGGCTATAAGCATTCTTATAAATATCTCCTGGTGTTGTTTCTCTAGTAAAGAAAATGTAGGGGCAAAGAGTATGTACATCTTCAATTTTATTAGATAATGCCACACTCTTTTCCAAAGTAGATGTACCAATTTACTCTCCTTTTGGAAAAGTATGAAAATCTCTAGTTTCATATCCTTGTTGAGCAGACTTGATCTTTAGAAGTGCCTGCTACAGGGCTACTCCTTGGTTGCCTGTGAACATTGCTCCTGAACTGTTTCTAAGGTTAATAAATCTACTCTTGAATTTTCTTTTTTTTCTAATTACCAGAAATAAAAATTCATTAATTTTCAGATATTCTCCAATTTACTCAAATAAAAGGTTAATGAGTACCCCAATTTTGAATAGCACTTTATTGTTTTCTAATTTTAATTATGATTCTTTGATTTATATAGTAATCTAAAGTATTTTTATAGGAAAGTTACCTTTTATGTTGATGTTTAGCTTACATGCATTGTGTATAGGCATAATTTCACTTTTTAATTTTTAAGAATTTCTTTGGCCAATTTTACAAATATTTCATATGTTCCTAAAAAGAATGCATATTCTACAGCGGTTAAAAATACAATGTTTTTTATATGTGCACTAAGTAAATTTTAATAATTACACTGATTAATCTATAACTGTTCTTTTTCATCTGCTTATTCTCTTGATTACCAAAAGCAACATTTCAATAATCTCCCACTACAACTGGAAATTTGTCTATTCTTATATCCCAGTAGCTGAACAGGACCTGACATGTAATAACAATAGGTAACAGTGAGCTTTTATTATGCACCACACATTTTTTGAGTATTTTACTCATACTAACTCATTTATTCCTCACAAAAGTCTTGTGAGGTAATTTTTGTTATTATTCCTATTTTCAGATGGAAAGCTTATGCACACAGAAAATAACTTATAAATAGCGGGACCAGCAGATGGCGTAATGGCTACATTGCTGAACTCCCATGTAGCCAAACACAGTTTGAGTTCCGGACCTGGGCCTGGCGTGTGTGCATACGTGCCCAAGATCCCAAGAGGAAGATGGAGGAGAAGGGATTGCGGAGTAGCCATCCCCCCGGCGCGTGACTTCTCGCTTTCTGTCTCTCTTTCTGGTGAGCGCACATGCTCTATAGTAAAAACCTCTCAAAAAAAAAAAAAACAAAAAAAACAAAAAAAACAAAAAACAAATCCAAGTAGCGTAGGTAAGTTTCAACTCAGTCTAACTTTAGCATCCATATTCTTAACTATGCCACAATGCGTAGAGATGAAGAGAGTTAACTCATGGGCCAGCTCTGCTGTGGAGCAACAATGTGCTGCTCAAGAGAAGCTGGATCCTACATGGTGTCCACGGTCCAACTCTCCAGTCTGCTGGGCCTGAAACATGCTGGACATACACACAAGTGCCCCAGATTTGATGGGAGGGACTGTCTAGTTTTCTTAGATTATATTGAGTCATAGGAAAAGTCATGATGTGTTTTTCTATGCAAAGTACTATAGGCAGGGCCTTTCCTTTATATAGTACTGTATCTCTAGTGACTGCCAAGGCCTGACACATCACAGACACACAAAAACAATTTGCTGATTTAATAAAAGGAATAAACTGGCACACAGAATAAAAACAATAGTTTTATGGTCTACTAGCTAGAGAAATTTGAACTCTATTTTCTATATTCATAACCATAAAAACTACGTTAAAATGTCTTTCACCTTTGTCTTTTTCTTTTTTATGTGCAAATAATGAATGACATGACATAATATGGTTATAAACAACATGAACATGTACTAGGTCATCAGGAAAGTCATAATGTAATTTTCAATGCAAACTATCATCACTTTCCACATCATGACTTTCCCAAAAACTCAACAGATAAAAGTACAAAAACTAGGCTAAACCGTGACATGGTTATTAAGGTGGTTGGATCCTACATGGCCAACTCAATAAGTTTTGAATCCTTGACCTGGGCCACCTGGTGGTACAGTGGTCAGGGCAGCTAGATCCCACTTGTCAGACCCTGCAGTTCAAATCTCAGATTTAGTGGTTTGAAAATTACACCAGGTGTGTGTGTGTGTGCACCTGAAATCCCCAAAGGAGAGAGAAATGGAGGAGAAGGGATTATGGCATGATGATTTCTCACAGCTGGGTCATTCTCACTCTGTCTCTCTGGAAAGCGCTCATGACCTCTGGCAAAGGAAAAAAATGGAAAAAGTACACGTGCTATGGAAAACAATATGGAGGTTCCGCAAAAATTTAGAAGTTACCATATAATCCAGCAATTCCAGTTTTAGGCATCCTCCAAAAGAACTGGAAACAGAATCTCAAAGAAATATTTGCACTCCCATGTTCACTGCAGTGTTATTTACAATAGCCAAGAGAAAGGACAATTTAAATGTCCATCAATGAAAAAATAAAGATGTGCTATATATACTCAATGAAATATTATTCATTCTTTAAAAATCAAGGAAATCCTTTCATATCACACAACGTGGATGAACCCTGAGGACATTATGAGTGAAATAACCCAATGACAGGAGGACAACTATGTCATGAATCCACTTACATGAGGTCCTCAAGTGTGAAACTCATAAAAGCAGAAAGAAAATAGTGGTTAGCAGAATATAACAGCTAAACTGCCATATTCTATAATTTTGGTCAAGCAAACTTCAGTTTACTTACACGGCACTGTTAATGGAAAATTTAGCCATATATCGTCTTAAAATTATATTTATTGGGGCCAGCAGGTGGTGTGGTGGATAAGGGCACTGGATTCCCACATGGCCAACCATGGTTCAAGTCCTGGACCTGGTGGCTTGCTTTCTCACTTTCCCTTTCTCTCTCTCTCTCCACCCAAATAAAGGAAAAAAAAAAAATAACAAACGGAAATAATTCTTTAAAAAATTATATTTATTAATCAGCATTATAAGATTGAGAGAGCAGAAAAAAGACTTGCAAGAATTTTGACTAAATGAATAAAATCAGCTAATACTATCTCAAAGAGTTGCTGTTCTTTTACCCCATGAAGAATATGATCAAAAGGACATTAAGAATATAATTACAGTTTAAGTCCAAATTTAAAATGATTTCTGAAGTACATTTTACAACCAGAAGACCATATGTACAATAATTTTTAGGCCCAGCTGTGTTGGTGCAGCAGCAGCTCATAGCTCCACAATGCTGGAGCTGTATGAAAAATAGGTGTTTACTTCTTTGGTCTAACTGTACGCAACAGGCTTCTGCATCCATGATCCTTGCTGGCTGGGAAGGCTAGAAGGGAGTATTGCAGACTGAGACTGTGGACAATGTCTATCTTTCTCTTTCATGAAGGAAATAAATGAATAAACTTAAAATAATTTTCACATAAAAAAGGTTAAGTGCTGGTTTTCTACCTCTTACTCCATGAGGATATGACAAAACAGAATTTGGAATCAGTATCTCAGGTGGTATATGAAGAGACTTCAAAACATACATGGAAAAATCAAATTAGGGGAGAAGTAGAGCCACAATGATGCCATGGCTGGAGAAGTCCTTGGTTCACATCCTGGGACCTCCCAGAGCAAGCTAGATGTATTAGGTCACTGGGAAAGTCATGATGTATTTATCTATGTTTTTCTATGCAAAAATACACCATGACTGTCCCAATGACCAAATGTATGCATGTGAATGACCATGATCTGGGATGGCTGAAACTGGAAGTGAACTGTGGTGTGAGAACTGTGTCAAAACTGTATCTTTGTCTCTCTCTCTTGTTGAGAAATTACAAACAAAAAAACTTTAAAAATATAATGAGAACAGTTTTTTCATAATATGCTTCTCCATAAACTTCTTTGAAGACCCTTTGTATATCAATTCCTAATAAAGTACTCATTAATAACTCTGTATCCCACATTAAAAATAAAAAAGTGAAGAGCTGAATACATATTGGGCCTATCCTTCCAAATTCTACCTGTATAAAATGAACTCTTCATAATTATGAGGAAATGCAAAAACTTTCAAACTGATACTAAGCTATCTTTCAAATAAACAATTCCAACTAATAAAATAAATTTTTAGAGTAACAGCAACATATGTTTTTTGTTTAATCTTTCTTTTAATTTGCCAGAGGGTACAGTGGTTGCCAGAGAGAGACAGAGAGAAAGCACTCCCCCTCCCTAACAGTAAGAGGAAATCACATTGTAATCCTTCTTCTCCATTTCTCCATTTTGTTAGGATTTGGGACATGAATGCACATGTGCCTGGCATGATTTTTAACATGCCAGTGCTGGGATTCAAACCACAGTCAGCCATATGGGATCTAGTTTCCCTAACCCCTAGGTTATGGGGTTGGCCATTAATTCTTCTTATATTACAGAAAAAAAGTAATATGTTGATTTTATGGAAAAGTTTATGGAAGTATGATTAAACAGGTTCAATTAGGGGATGAGTGGGTGGCATAATAGTTATGTCATTGGACTTCCACGTAGTCAACTGTGGTTCAAGTCCCAGACCCAGTGGCTTAAAACTGATGCCGGGCATGTGTTTTAAAATCTCAAGAGGAGAATGGAAGAGAAGGTATTATAGCATGGCCATCCCCCAGGGGCTGACTGCTTGCTTTCTATCTCTCTTTCTGTCCTATCTCTTAAAAAAAAAAAAAAAAAAAGGTTCAATTAAATTCTAGTCAAATCATAGGTCTTTAATCAGATAATACTTTTCCACAGTCTAAAATTACAAACGTATAGTATTTTAATAAGATTGCACTGCAGTAATTATATTCTCTTGATGCTACTATATAACCAAAGTAAAATGGATTGTTTTATAAGGCACCACTGTCAAAAACATAAATGTATACTATTATCCAAAAACGAGAGGCATATTATATATACTAGAATGCAAAATCCTTCTTTGTCCTATTGCCTAAACTTAAAGCAACTGAAGTTTAAATAAATATTATTAAAACCTTGGGAAATAGATGGCGTAGTGCTTACATTGCTAGACTCCCAAATGGCTGACCGTGGTTCGAGTCCCAGACCTGGTGGCTTCAAACTCAAGCCAGGTGCGTGTGTATAAGTGCCCAACGTCCCAGGAGGAGAATGGAAGAGAAGGGACTGCAGTGTGGCCATCCCCCGCTGGAGGGTGATTTTTGCTTTCTGTCTCTTGGGCAAACACATATGCTCTATACCAAAAATCCTCCCCACACACACAAAAAAAAAAAAAAAAAGAAAGAAAGAAAGAAAGAAAGAAACCTTAAGACTATAGTAAAATCCTAAAACTGCTGGAACCCTAGTTTTTTGTAAAATTTTATCTTATTCATGAATTCATGATAGAAAATGTGTGCGCATTAGAAAGATGAGGGTGGCAGGAAGCACCCCTGACATGGTCTTGACATACCATGATCTGTCCCCCACAATCTTGAGTATATATACACACTTGGCATCCTTTAGGTTAACTGGACTGGGGATCTGAACCTGCAATTGGCCATGTGGCTTCCAGGCCTATGGTTCAGCATACTATTGATTATGCCACAAAGGCTAGACCTCTAACTGGAGTAGAACTCTAAGGATATGCATTCAAAATTCTGCACAAATCTAATGGTATCTTCAAATAGACTACTCAAGTACGTGAGAATGATGAAAAAAGAAAGGTACGCTTCAGTTTCTAGGAAATTCTTACCTGTATAATGCATCATCAATCTCCACAGATTCTGTTGACATGATTGGCAAATTTTTATTTGTACTGGAAAAGAGAAAAAGAGAAGCTATAAGAACAAGTACAGTTATTAAATAGTCACATTTTCAATGTAACATTCAATTATACATGAGACCAAATTCACTGATTACTAAATAATTTTATAAACCAAGTATATATTTTATTATATATCACTTTATTCAGATTTTTAACACATGCTAAAATTGAACTCACTGACTACTTTCTCTGTCTTGTGTATATTGTAAGATTATAAACTATTTTATTCTCAAGTATTGAGTTATCATTGCTACATATATTCAGATCGATCTATAGTTTACCAATTTGTCCCTAATATTCTCTGTATATAATCATTCACCCTCGTGGAATTTACGATATATTACTGGTATCTAAAGTGATTTTTGCATATTTGATATCTTCTTTTACCTCCTTACACAACTGTCAAAACAATGATTGTATTCTAATGTCTAACTGGCATCACAACATAACAAGCTTGAAACAGAATTCAATTCCCCTGATGTTTCTCAATTCATTTTCTGGTACCATCATTTACTCGACTAGGACTAAAACCTAAAGATTTTCTTGCTTAACTCATTTCCCTCACTTTCTACATTTGTTAAGTCTTGCTGCTCTGTCTTCACAAGTGATCTCAAATCTGATCACTTGTCACTACGGAATCAGTGCAATCTCAAGCCATGTTCAACCTGAATTCAATTAGGGGACTAGCAGGTGGTGTAATGGCTATGTCATTAACTAGTTAGGCTTCTCAATTTCCACGATTACCCTACCTCTTCAGTTTATTCTTCCTATAACAGCCTGAGCATTTTAAACAGCTTTATTTTAAATGTAGTCAGATATTATTCTCTGGCTTAGAATTCCCTTCAGGGGATTCCTTTACTTTTAAAACCAAAATGCAACACCTTAACATGCTTAAAAAGGCCTATGGGCTCTGTCTCCCTAATTATCTCTCTACTTTGAACTCCCAGCACTCTCCCTTTTATTTAGTACCTTCAAGACACACTGTTTGTTGTTCCTCAAAAAGTCTTCAGAGTTTTTATACTACTATCTTCTCTCTGATTAGAATGTTCTTCCTTCAGATCTGATAATTGTCTTATCATTGAAGCCTCTATCAAAATATTGCTTCCCAAATATTAAGCAGATCATTCCTGAACAACCAATCAATACAAAGCTCCCCTTATCCTTAGATCACTAACTCATTAACCTGTATTTTCTTCAAATTGTTTATCTTTAACTGCTTATTGTTCTTCTCCCTCCACCAGGAGAATGTATGGTCCCACTAAAAACTCATTACTATACTCTAATACATAAAACCATACCTGGTATTCAACAGTAATAGATAACCCTGTGCTACACAGTTTTAAGTGCATTGGATGAATTAAGTTAATCCTTACAATAATCATATAGGATAGGTACAGTTGCCATCTACAATGAACAGAGAAAAAAAAAAAAGAGGCTGAGAGAGATGAACTAAAATAACTTGTCCAAGGTCACAAAGCAGGTAGATAGCACAGCCAAGGTCTGAAACCAGTCAAGCTTTTTTTTGTTTGTTTAAGATCTGTTCTAGAGAGCAACACACTTGAAGAAGAGAGACAAAGACAGAGAAAAGGGAAAAGTGAGAAAGCATCCCTGCTGGGGGATGGGGGAATGGCCATGCCACAACCCTCTCTCCTCCATTCTCCTCTCTGGATTTTGTGCATGCATGCACACGCATCCAGCATGCTTTTCTTTCTCTCTCTCTCTCTCTCTCTCTCTTTTAAGGTTTTTGCCATAGGGGATGTGTGCTTGCTGGAGAGACAGAAAGAGACATAGAGGGGGGAGGAGTGAGAAGTCACCCTCCAAAGGGGAATGGCCACATCTCAATCCCTTCTCTTCTTCTGGGATTGCGAGCAGACACACACATGCACCTGGTGCGCCACCAGATCCAGGACTCAAACTGCAGTTGCCATGTAAGAATCCAGGGCTTTTAATCACACCACCACCTGCTGGTCCCTACGTTCAGTATGCTTTCAAGCTGAGCAGTCAGAACGCAGACTACAAAGTTGGCCCTGTAGGACCCAGTTGCCTTAACCACCATGTCACTGGCAGGCCCGTCGCAAAGCTCCTGACTATCACGCTACGCTGCCTGCTGCCTCTTACAGCAGGCATAAAGGAAATACTCAAGAAATATCTGATAAATGAATGAATTTTAAAAATAAGAAAAACAAAAGCTAAGTATACTGGTGTGACAGGTATACTTATTACAGTTATACATCATATACAGCAGTGTGTCCCAATTTCTTCACAGAATGACATACAAAGAAAAATGTTATTTGTAGGGAACACTGGGAGGCAGAGTTGGCTACCAGGCAGAGACCAAGCTGGGAATTTGGGCCTGAGTCACTATGACAGCTGAGATCAATATTATCTTGGTTCACGAGTGCAAGCCATTCTTCACTTTGGGAAGCTCTACATGTCACGTATAAGATTCTAAAAACATTGTGATAGCATGAAATTCAGGCTTGCGATCCAAAAACCTGGGCCTGGTATTGATAAATAACCTAAAGGATATGTAAACATAGGAGATTAAAATGTAATCATGTATTTTCCTAAACTTTGATTGGTACCATCAAATTTCAGCTTCTAACTAACAAAATGGATAACTATTACAAAAACCAAGCCAGAAGAGAATGTGTTCTAAGAGATCAACTATCTAATAAAAACCCACAAACAGTGCTTTGGCTTTACAATGAAATAAACAAAAATTTCTTATTATATAGTTTCCTATTATCTTACTCCTAGTACATTTTTACTTGCTGTCTTCCTTGCAAGGGGGTGTTGGTGAGGGGGTGACAGTCTGGTGGGTAAAGCTCTTGAGTAAAAATGGTAAGAGGTACACAGTCTAACCAGTTCTGTCACTTAGTGGTATGACTTAATTTTCAGAAAGTTTTGCCTCCCTAGAATGTTTCAAGAATATTTTAAAAAATATTAAAATCTACAAGACAACAAAAAATTCTTCAAGTAAGGAGGGGTGAGGGTGTCTGTATTACATAATATCCCCCCAAGTATATCTGACAGTATTGGCAACTGCAGACAATATCGTGATACTATAAGCATCCCTTCAGTCTGACACTGGCGTAAAAGCTACAGGTTATTCTTGTCATTTCACGATGACAATAATACACCCACCATTTCTTATCTTCCGCATATTGTATTCTGATAGTCAGCAGACTATAACTACGAGCTTTATTAACTATGAGATGTCCGAAAGGGCAACTATTAGCCAAGAAATCGGCAAAGGCCTAGCAAGAACGTTCTCCTTTAATTTAACCGAGGCGGGAGAACCTCAACGAAATTGAGAAATAAAAACGGGTAACTTGTGTATTTTATCCCTCGTTTGTTTATTTATTTTTATTATAGTCAACAGAGGCCTCGAGATGTCCTGACTGCCACTGATCCATCCTCAGCAAGTTCCCTCTGGTAACAGTTTTCAAAGGAGGATCCCAGTGGAGGACCGTGCACAGTGACGCGCCCAGCTCTCATCTTACGAAAAGGAAGAGGGAAGGCGCCTGGCAGAGGAGGGAAGGCACACACCAAGCCACCCGGGCCAGAACTCTCCGGGCGCAGCCCCCACGTCCTGTAACCCTGTAGGAGCGTGCAGGACCACAAGCGGAACTGCGAATGCGCTAGAAGCGGCGGGAAGTGGACCTTTTCTGCCGAAAAGCCGGGAGCCGCAGAGGC